ACGGAAATATTTGTTTATATGTCTTCGCTTGTCCATTTCTTTCGGTTTTCTTGTTTAGTAACTAATAATTATCTTTTAGATGCTTTGGTGTTATTTGTAAAGATTTAATGGATTTATTTCTAATTCAACACTTATCACTTCAAACGTTTTTATAGTGGATACTCGTATTTAAAGTAGACGACCATTTTTATTTTAATTAAAAAACATGTGTAATAGATCTTTGGGCCTGCACAATCGCGAAATCTAAAAAAGAACGAAAAGGTGCACCTCGGCAGAAATAAAACGCGTGTTTCTCCTACAACGGAAGAGGCAGACTTGATTATCGGCCGAAAGTAAGTTTTTTATAGAGATTTCTTGACTGCACGGCCCGATAGACGCAAAACATGCACTGTCTAAAGTAAAAATATTGCTTGAATAATATAGACAAGTTTTGTGTAACCAAAATTTTTTTAACTTTTACCAATTTCTGAATTAGTTGTTTTATGTAATCGGCAAATTTGCCAAATTCATGTTTCTTCTATTTTATTTTTCCTGAGCACTCTCGAATGTTGCTACATTCTTTTTCAAAAATTGTATTTTGTGTCTGTTTAGTAACTTATCATTTAGTATATTATTCGGTCGAGTTAGCTCGGACATTAATGAGTCTATTACGCCAACCATCACGGTCCTTCATCAATTTCAGGAGGTCATTAAGTAGGCATACTGTGTCAATGTAGCTGTCGTGTAAATTGCGCGTTTAGGTTTGGGGTCTGTCTATTTTTTTTTTTTTTTTTTTTTTTTGTGTAGTTTTATTTTATTTTTGCTCTTAGTATTTTTTCTATTTAAGTTTCCTTTTTGTTTCCTGGTAGAAATATTAAATTAAGTATACGGATAGATAGATAGATAGATAGATAGATAGATAGATAGATAGAAATAAAGAAACAGACGGAAATTAGAAAGAAAAAAAGAAAGAAAGAAAGAAAGAAAGAAACAGACAGACAGACGGACATTAGTTTGTTTGTTAGATAAATAGAAAGAAAGAAAGAAACAGACGGAAATTAGATAGATAGATAGATAGATAGATAGAAAGAAAGAAAGAAAGAAAGAAAGAAATAGATGCAGAATATTTAGTTAGATAGATAGATAGATAGATAGATAGATAGATAGATAGATAGATAGATAGACGGAGAATATTTAGCTAGTTAGATAGATAGAGAGATAGATAGATAGATAGATAGATAGAAACAGACGGCGATTATTTACTTAGATATATAGAAACAGACGGAGATTAGTTAGATAGATAGTTGGAAATTATTTATTTAGATAGATAGATAGATAGATAGATAGATGGAAATTATTTATTTATTTAGATAGATAGATAGATAGATAGATAGATAGATAGATAGATAGATAGATAGTGAACGTAGGAATCAACCCTGCATTTTCGTGTCAGTTTCTCGTTTCATGAAAAGTCAGGACGATCGCTTAAGGCATAAACCTTCAACTGACTATTAAGCCTTAATTACTCTGTCTCCATATACGCGCTGCTCTACATGCAGCGGTCTGTGCGCCAAGCTTTTGTAAATAAAATAACTTATTGAACTTATTTGCTTCAACTTCTTTAGGTGATGATGTTTTCTTTGTTTCGTATAATGGAACCAGAGAATGAACCATAGAAAGAACAGTGAAACACCTTTTTTGATATTGACTCGAAGACTTACACGTCTCCAGCATAGATTATAGAACCGGTCTGTTGCTCAAAGTAAAACTAGTAAATCCTCTCGATATTTTTAGATTCTTAATTTTTATTATCTGTGTTTATTTTTTTATGATGAAGGAAATATAGAAAGGAATATAAATGAAGGAAACATTGAAGAAATTATAAAAAATATATATATAGAGAGAAGGAGACAGCTTATAACTTAAAATTAGGAAACACCTTATAAACGAAAAAAAAAAAAGAAAAAAAACGGAGAAATCAAAGAAATGGAAACATAATGAATTTTAAAAAACAATGCACGGAAAAAGAAAAAAAACTATTTAAGAATAAAAAAATGAAAGGAAAAAAACGGAGAAATCAAAAAGAAATGGAAAGGAAAAATCGAAAAAGAAAAAATTTAAAAGAAAATAGAGATAAAATGAAGAATAATGCACGGGAAAAAGAAAAAAGAAAGAAGGAAAAAGTTCAAAAATTGTTTGAATGGATGAATGATAAAGAAAAAAAAAAGTGAAGAACGATCTTAAAATGAAAGGAAGGAAAGAAAGAAAGAGCTTCGAATGAAAACAAGAAAGAAATCAGTTATAATCAAATTTGAAAAGTAGAAAAAGACAAAAATATCGACAGAAAGTAAAAGAAACGAAAACGTTTAACACGAAAAAGAAAAAGCGATTACGAACTATTGCAAGTATGAAAGGGAAAAAAGAAATAAATAATGTGAAATACTAAAGAACAAAGAAAGAAAGAAAGAAAGAAAGAAAGAATTATTGAATAAAAAAGCAAATCATAAATAAAAATGAAGTAATGTAAGAAATAAATAAAGAAAGAAAGAAAGAAAGAATAATTATAAAACATCTTAGAATGAATGAATGAGAAAAGAAAGAACAAACATAGAATGAAAGGAAAAAAACATGGACGAAAGAAAGAAAGAAAGAAAAAAGAAAGAAAGAAAGAAAGAAAGAAAGAAAGAAGCGAAAAGAAAAAAAAACGTCAAATAAAAGGGGGGAAAAAGAAATAAGAAAAAAGAAAAAAAAAAAAGAAAGAAAGAAAGAAAAAAGAAAAATGAATCAAAAAAGAAAATAGAGAATGAAAGAGACAGGAGAAATAAAGTTAAGAACAATTTTATATTCAAAGGAAGAAAATAGAAACATCTAAGAAAGAAAGAAAGAAAGAAAGAAAGAAAGAAAGAAAGAAAGAAAGAAGGAGAGAAAGAAAGACGGGAAAAGAAAGACAGAACGTAAGTAAATTACGACATCAAAACGAAAGCGGGGAAAAAAGAAACATTAACGAAAGAAAGAAAAAAAACAAAAACGAAAGAAAAAAACAAACATTAACGAAAGAAAGGAAAGAGAAAGAAAGACAGGAGAAAAGAAAGACAGAAAGACAGAACGTAAGTAAATTACGACATCAAAACGAAAGCGGGGAAAAAAGAAACATTAACGAAAGAAAGAAAGAAAGAAAGAAAGAAAGAAAGAAAGAAGGAGAGAAAGAAAGACAGGCAAAGAAAGACAGAACGAAAGAAAAAAAAAGACATCAAAACGAAAGAAAGAAGGAGGGGAAAAAAATTACGACATCAAAACGAAAGAATTAACAAAAAAAGAAAAGAAAAGAAAAGAAAGAAAAAGAAAGAAACGAAAGAAAGAAAGAAAGAAAGAAAAGAAAGAAAGAAAGAAAGGAAAGAAAAAAGAAGGAGAAAGAAACAGGAAAGAAAGACAAACGTAAGAAACGACATCAAAACGAAAGAAAAAAAAAAGAAAGAAAGAAAGACAGAAAGAAAAGAGAAAAAATACAGAAAGACAGAACGTAAGTAAATTACGACATCAAAAACAAAGGGGGAAAAAAAACGAAAAGAAAGGAAAGAAAGAAAGAAACAAGAAAAAAGAAAGACAAAAAGAAAGACAGAACGTAAGTAAATTACGACATCAAAACGAAAGAAAAAAGAAAGAAAGAAAGAAGAAAGAAAGAAAGAAAGAAAGAAAGAAAGAAAGAAGGAGAAAGAAAGACAGGAAAAAAAAAACGAAAGACAAAAGAAACATTAACGAAAGAAAAAAAAAGTAAAGAAAATTACGACATCTAAAAAGGAAAGAAAGAAAGGGAAAAAAAACAGAACGAAACGAAAGAAAACGAAAGAAAAAGAAAGTAAGAAAGAAAGAAAGGAAAGAAAGAAAGAAAGAAAGACAGGAAAAAAGAAAGACAGAACGTAAGTAAATTACGAAAGGGGAAAAAAGAAACATCAAAAAAGAAATAAAGAAAGAAAGAAAGGAGAGAAAGAAAGGAGAGAAAGAAATACAGGAAAAGAAAGACGAAAGACGGGGGAAAAAAGAAAATTAACGAAAGAAAGAAAGAAAGAAAGAAAGAAAGAAAAAAGAAAGAAGGAGAAAGAAAGAAAAAAGACAGGAAACAGAACGTAAAAAATTAACATCAAAACGAAAGCGGGGAAAAAAGAAACATTAACGAAAGAAAGAAAGAAAGAAAGAAAGAAAGAAAGAAAGAAAGAAAGAAAGAAGGAAAGAAAGACAGGAAAAGAAAGACAGAACGTAAGTAAATTACGAAAAAACGAAAGGGGAAAAAAGAAACATTAACGAAAGAAAAAAGAAATACAGAAAGAAGGAGAGAAAGAAAGACAGGAAAAGAAAGACAGAACGAAAGAAAGAAAGAAAGAAAGTAAATTAAATTACGACATCAAAACGAAAGAAAGGGAAAAAAGAAAGAAAAAGATTAACGAAAGAAAGAAAGAAAAAAGAAAGAAAGAAAGAAAGAAAGAAAGAAAGAAGGAGAGAAAGAAAGACAGGAAATGAAAAATTACGACATAAAACACGGGGAAAAAACATTTGAAAGAAAGAAAAAAGAAGAGGAAAAAAGAAAAAAAAAGAATAATGAAGAGAAAGAACGAAAAAAAGGAAAAAAAGAAAAAAGAAAAATAAAGAAAGAAAGAAAGAAAGAAAGAAAGATATGCGAGAGAAACTAAGAAAAAAGAAAGACAGAACGTAAGAAATTAAGACAAAAAACAAAGCGACCTTTTTATTCTTGAAAAGTAACTCCCAAATAATTAAGAGAGGAAAACAAATAAAAAAAAAAGAAAAAAAGAAAGCGAAAAAAAAGAAGAACGTCATATCCATCCAAACTAAAAAAGAAACATAAAAAGAAAAAAAAAAGAAAGCAACTATAAATCAACATAAAACGAAAGCGGGGAAAAAAAAAAATTTAACGAAAGAAAGAAAGAAAGAAAGAAAGCAGAAAGAAAGAAAGAAAGAAGGAGAGAAAGAAAGACAGGAAAAGAAAGACAGAACGTGAAATTAGACATCAAAAACGAAAGAAAAGAACGTTAACGAAAGAAACAAAGAAAGGCAGAAAAGAAAAGACAGCAGGGTGACATCAAAAACGAAAAGGGAAAAAGAAACATTTTGAAAGAAAGAAAGAAAGAAAGAAAGAAAAGAAAGAAGGGTGACGAACGGTAAATTACGACATCAAAACGAAAGCGGGGAAAAAGAAACATTAACGAAAGAAAAAGAAAGAAAGAAAGAAAGAAAGAAAGGGTGAAAAGAAAGACATCAAATTACGACATCAAAACGAAAGGGGGAAAAAAGAAACATTAACGAAAAAAAAGAAAGAAAGAAAGAAAGAAAAAGAAAGAAAAAGAAAACAGAAAGAAGGAAAGAAAACGACATCAAAAATGAAAGGGGGGGAAAGAAACAGAACGAAAGAAAGAAAGAAATCCAGAAAGATTGAAAGGAAACATTAACGAAAAGAAAGAAAGAAAAAAGAAAGAAAGAAAGAAAAAAGAAAGAAGAGAGAAAGAAAACAGGAAAAAGAAAGACAGAACGGGCAAATTACGACATCAAAACGAAAGGGGAAAAAGAAACATTAACGAAAAAGAAAAGAAAGAAAGAAAGAAAGAAAGAAAGAAAGAAAAAGAAAGAGAAAAGAAAAGACAGGAAAAAAGAAAGACAGAACGTAAGTAAATTACGACATCAAAACGAAAGCGGGGAAAAAAGAAACATTAACGAAAGAAAGAAAGAAAGAAAGAAAGAAAGAAAGAAAGAAAGAAGGAGAGAAAGAAAGACAGGAAAAGAAAGACAGAACGTAAGTAAATTACGACATCAAAACGAAAGCGGGGAAAAAAGAAACATTAACGAAAGAAAGAAAGAAAGAAAGAAAGAAAGAAAGAAAGAAAGAAAGAAAGAAAGAAAGAGAAAGAAAGAAAAGAAAGACAGAACGTAAGTAAATTAGACATCAAAAAATGAAAGACAAAAGAAACATTAACGAAAGAAAAAGAAAGAAAAAAGAAAGAAAGAAAGAAAAGAAAGAAAGAAAGAAAGAAGGAGAAAAGACAGGAAAAAAAAACAGAACGTAAGTAAATTACGACATCAAAACGAAAGAAAAAGAAAACATTAACGAAAAAAAAGAAAAGAAAGAAAGAAAGAAAGAAAGAAAGAAAGAGAAAGAAAGACAGGAAAAATTAAAAACAGAACGTAAGTAAATTACGACATCAAAACGAAAGCAGGGAAAAAAGAAACATTAACGAAAAAAAAAGAAAAAAAGAAAAAAGAAAGAAAGAAAGAAAGAAAGGAAAAAAAGAAAATAGAAAACAGAAAAGAAAGAACGTAAGTAAAATTACGACATCAAAACGAAAGGGGGAAAAACAAACATTAATGAAAGAAAGAAAGAAAAAGAAAGAAAGAAGGAGAGAAAGAAAGACAGGAAAAGAAAAGACAGAATTAAGTAAATTACGACATCAAAACGAAAGAAAAGAAACATTAACGAAAGAAATTAAGAAAGAAAGAAAGAAAGAAAGAAAGAAAGAAAGAAGGAGAGAAAGAAAGACAGAACGTAAGTAAATTACGACATCAAAAAACGAAAGGGGGGGAAAAACAAACATTAACGAAAAAAGAAAGAAAGAAAGAAAGAAGGAGAGAAAGAAAGACAGCAGAACGTGGTAAAAAAAAAAGAAACATTAACGAAATGAAAGAAAGAAAGAAAGAAAGAAAGAAAGAAAGAAAGAAAGAAAGGAAGTGGAAAGACAGGAAAAGAAAGACAGAATGGAAAGGGGAAAAAGAAACATCGAAAGAAAGAAAGAAAGGAAAAAGAAGGAGAGAATAAAGACGAAAGAAAGACAGAAAAGAATGAAAAACGAAAGGGGGAAAAAGAAACATTAACGAAAGAAAGAAAGAAAGAAAGAAGAAAGAAAGAAAGAAGGAGAAAAGACAAAAGAAAGACAGAACGGGCAAATTACGACATGAAAGGGGGAAAAAGAAACATTAACGAAAGAAAGAAAGAAAGAAAGAAAGTAAGAAAGAAAGAAGGAGAGAAAGAAAGACATCAACTTTGACACTGCTGAAAGAAAGAAAGAAAGAAAGAAAGAAATCTTTTTTTACACATCAAAACGAAAGCGGGGGAAAGTAACTTTAACGAAAGAAAGAAAAGAAAGAAAGAGAAAAGAAACAAAAGAAAGAAAGAAAGAAAGAAAAAAAAAGAAAGGTTTCTTTTAAGAAAAGTTAATGAAGAGAAAGAAGTTAAGGAAAAGGAAAGAAAAGAGAAACTTTCAGAGTAATTTATGCGCTCGAAACTTCGTTCTAACCAAAAACAAAGCGACTCTTTATTCTTGGTTTTTCGAGAGGAAAACAAATTTTTATTTTTTAAACAAAACTAAATTTGATTATTTTTGTATTTTTCCTTCTGTTTAGCTTTCTTAAATTTAATTTATTTTGGTTTTCTTTCGGGTGAAGATGGTCTCATTATTATCTATCACTTCATCCATTGTATCCAACCCATCACCATCTGTCATCTATCTTCCTATCATTATGCTACTTTTTTCAAATTTTTTCGAAGATGTTGCCGTCGAGCTGAAAACAACTTTGACTGGTCCATCAACTTTCATTCAATCTTTTTTGCACTAAAACCATGGGTCGAGTTTTCTTTTTTCTGAGAACTTTTTTTCATTCTTTTTTTCTTTCTTTCTAAGATATTTCTTTCTTCTTCTTTTTACAAGATTGTTCTTTCATTCATTATATTTTTACGAATTTAACATGTTTTCTTTCTTTTTCGTTTTTTCTTATTTTTTTTCTTTCTAAGATGTTCTTTCTTCATTCTAAAAGGTGTTCTTTACTTTTTTCATTTTTTTTTTCTTTTTTTCTTTCTTCTTTTTTAAAAGTTTTTCTTTTTTCATTTATTTTTACGAATTTATTTTTTTTTTCTTTTTTTTTCAAAAGTTTTCTTTCATTCTTTTACTTTCTTTTTTTTTCTTTTTCAAAAGTTTTAGAGAAAGAAGACAGTTTTTATCTTTTACTCTGAGATTGTTCTTTTCTTTTTCTCTTTGTTTCATTCATTCATTCAAAGATAAGATTTTTTTTATAATTTGTCTTTCTTTTTTTTTTCTTCTTATTAATTCATTCCATTATATTTCAGTTTAATCTATTGTTTCATTCTTCTTATTCTCTCTTTCTCTTTTGTTCGTATGATTCCGTTTTCTTCTGTTAATTTTCTCTAATTTCTCTTCGTTTGTTTCTCAAAGTCAGTATTTTCTCTTACAAAGTTACACAGAAAAATACCAGTCATTTTTATAATTCTTTTCTTATTTTTCTCATAATTTGTCATATTCTTTCTTCATTTCTTTTTTATATTTTCATTACTTTTAGAACAAAAGGAATGAAACAATTTTTACGTTTCTTTCACATATTTTCCTCACTCTCTTTATATCTTTCTTTCTTTCTATATTTCTTTCTTTCATTTTTCTTTCATATTTTTCTCCTTCTCTTTTGAGTTTTCTTTCTTTCATTCTTTATTTCTGTCGTATAATTTTCATCTTTCTTTCTTTCTGCTATTCTTTACTCCTTTCTTTTTTTTTTATTTCCCACTCTTTTTTTTAATATTTTTAATTCATTTTTAGTTTCTCTTGACTTCTTTGGTTTTTTTTTTCTTTCTTGTTAATTTCATGATTACTACGCACTTTGACATCATTTTTATTCGATTTATTTCATTTCAATATATTTAATAACAGTCCATTCTAGAACATTTAATCTCTAACTTTTTACCCTCTTTCTTTCTTTCTTTCTTATTTTCTTCTTTATTCATCTCTTCATTCATTTTTCTTTCTTTTTTTATTCATATATACCTTTTTGTATTCTTTATTCTTTTTCTGTTTCTAGATACCTTGTTCGTAGTTTCTTAGATTTTCTGATAATTTTAATCTCCTTGCGTAACTTTGGTTTAATTTCATTTATCTATCTTCGACTCTTCTTTCTTTCTTTCTTTCTTTCTTTCTTTCTTTCTTTCTTTCTTTCGCGCACATTTCATACGTGGGAAGTTTTTTTCAAGAATTTTTCTTTAATTGTTTTTCTGCGTTCGTTTCTTTATTTCCTACTTCCTTTTTTTACAATCTTTCTTTCTTTCTTTCTTTCTTTTTCGTTCTTTTACTTCTTTTCTTTTTCATTCCTTTCTTTCTTTCTTCCTTTCTCCCTTCCTTCCTTCCTTTTTTCTTTCTTTCTTTCTTTTTTTCTTTCTTTCTTTTTTTTTTTCTTTCTTTTTCGTCCCTTTCTTTTTTCTTTCTTTTCTTTCTTCGTTCCTTCCTTCGTTCCTTCGTTCCTTCCTGTTTTCTAACTTCCTTTCTTTTTCCTTTTCTCCTTCCATTTTTTTCTTTCCTTTCTTTCTTACTTCCTTTCTTTCTTCCTTTCGTTTCTCCTTTTCTTTTTTGCGTTCTTTCTTCATTTCTTTCTTTCACATCTATTTCTTGTTTACGTAATTTGCTTCAAGGCTTATACTTTTCTATATATAATAGTTTGTTTGTTTTTTCGTTTGTTTGTTTGTTTCTTTTTTTCTTCCATTTGTATCCTATGTAGTTTCTTTCAATCATTCTCTTGTTCCTGTTTGTTTTTTTGTTTGTTTCGTTGTTTCTTTTTCCTTTATTTCCTTCTTCCTTTTCTTCTTTCCGTATAATTCATTTTATATAATATCATCTTTCTTTTCTTCTCTTTGCCTATTTACATCGTTACTCAGCTTGATACCCAGAAAAAAACATTACCGTTAATATACATGTCACTCTAATTACTTATCCTAATTACACAGTTCAAAATATTACATCGACCTTGTCTTCAACACAAAAATAAATAAATAAATAAAAATCTCTTTATAAGCAAATGCCAAATATTTTTTCGTCCTCACAAAAACGTTTTTCTCGTTTGCCATACAATAAGGAAGCTATATTAAAGTCAACTCAGGGCCAGCTGAACTTTCATGGACACATAATGAGGAAGGAGGGCCTGGAGAAACTGATACTCACTTGGCGAATAGAGGGAAGGAGAGAGGAGG